CGCGCTCCGAGGAATTGCCCCTGGTTCCGCCAGAATTTTTTTGAGAGCCATCCTGCAGGGTTTTTAGTTCTCCCTTTCTCTCTCTTCCTCCTCCTCCTCCTCCTCCTCCTCTCCCCGTGTTGTGACTGGGTTTATGAAAAAAATAAAAAAAAAAAGACAACTCCATGTTAAGCTAGCAGTCAGGGCATGGTGAAGTCTGGGGCTACAGGGGGAGGGAGGAGAGGAGGGGAGGGTCACAGCTTCGTGCCTTACAAAAGGGAACCAAAAGCCAGTATATTTTTTTGAATATCCTACACAAAACGTCGGCGCGCATATACGCGGAACGCAGGCGCGCGCCGGGCGGCGCGCGTGCCGCTAATTAGATTTTCACCAAAAACCGTCAAGGTTCAGCCTATGACGCAAATAAACGCAATGGCATTCCGCGTTAATGTGCGAACTCCAGCCCCAACCTGCCCTCCGGTTCCTCGGTGCGCGCAGACGCCCGAGCGGGGCCAGGGTTTATGGAGCGTGCAGCTCTATTTGCAAGAGCCCCTACGATGGTGGGGTGGCCAGGTTCAGCCTTAACCACACGTTACCCACTCGGGCTGTTTCGCCGCAACCCGGCCGGTACGCTCCGGGTGTCTTTTTTGCACAAATCGATCGCACCGTTCCGTAGCTCCGGTGACGGGGGAGGAAAAAACGTAATCGGAGTTGCGTACCCCCTTGCAAAAATGTCACAGAAGTAGCGTCCCCGTGGTTCGGGACTGGGTCTCCAGGAGCGCAGGCCTATTGTTCTAAAAAGACGCGGCTTTTGTGAGCCGGTGTAGCGCAGACAGGCTGCCAACAGACTGCGTGGGCTCCTCCGAGGGGGAAAATCCCTTGCACCAAACCCACCGGCGCCGTGTGCGTCGCAGCCACTTCTTAACAACCTCGCATTCAATGCTTGCTGAAAATACGTGGCGCGTACATGTGGCGCTTTTTTACAAACGTGTCGTTACCGTGAATGATGAAGGGCTTCGTTGCTTCCCAGTACAAGGTCTCGGATCAGACTGCTGACTGATTGCTGAGTTCCACTGTACACCTCAGAACGTGATTTCAGTGAGAGGATCAGGGGAAAAAAATGTACTTTATTAAACATTTTTTTGCATGCAGAATATTTAGGAAGGGTCAAATTTATTTTTGCAATTGCCAAAAGCAAATTTGCTCCTAAGCTGAGCCGTCGCGAGTCGTGTTTCATCCCAGAGTACATTTTTATGGAGAAGTTATAAACCCCTGAAATATGCGTTGTCTATCAGAAATGCTGGGATGCTCTGTCAAACGTTCGAGCAGCACGGACTGCGCTGCTCGGATGCCGGGGCGACACAAGCAAGTGCAGAAGCAGTGTTTGCGGGTGGGTTTGTACAGTAAATATGTGTGTATTTGGTAGCGGAGGGGCTGCCGCGGTGGCGAGGCAGACAATGGGAGCTGGAGGCGAGGAAGGAGGTAAAGGGGGGTCTGCCCGCGCCCCCCCGGCCAGGTTGCGCGGGGAGCGGAGGAAAGCAGGTCACTCCTTATCAACTGGTTAAGCAAACGCCAAAACAAAGAGTGGTTCTTTATTTTGACGAGCTCTTGGCAGACACGCTTTCTTATAAAAAATAATTTCTCTGCCTTTGTTTCTCTTCTTCTCCTTCAAAGACAGTGGGAAGAGCGGTCTTTTGTATTCACGCCTGCTTTCCAAAGGAAGAAAGGTGATTTTTAAGAATCTGACCACCGCGCACGAGTTACTTGTCCTCCCCCCAAAACAGATTTAAAAAAAAAAGGAAAAAATCTTTGACAAGACTCAAAGGGTCCCTGAAATAAAGAAGAAAGAAAAAACATCCAAAACATTAGACACAGAAACATTATATTTCAATATTATCATATGAATTAAATGTAATCCTTGAAGCGACTAGTCCCAGGGGTCACATATTAGGCCATTTTTTTCTTTTTTTTTTATTTAATAGAGGTCATCCAGGCTGAAAAGCAGAACCCAAATGAAAAGCATCTTCAATGTGGTTATAACATGAGCTGCACGAGGTCAGGCAGTGTCTTGTATGGCCTCATAAAAAATACATAACCAGACAGCCTAATAGTATTTCTTTGCATTCATTTTTGGATGGGAACTGGCGGGTGGGGGAGGGGGCTGATGGAGATAGGGACATATAAAAACCCCACATGTACATTTCCATAATGTGCAGCTTTTCATACATTTCAGTTAAGAAAAAATGAACATTCATTTTAAAAGGTACTTCGGTTAGCTTGCTTCAAAGGAACGATCCTAAATACAATTTCTGTGGCCCCTAAAAACAGAGGGAGGGTTTTAGCATTGCCCATCTCATGCGTGCGCACACACACGCACGCGCGCGCGTTTTATTTCGGACAGTCATGCTACAGTCATGCTTAATTGGGAGTGCAACCATGTTGGGCTTGCTTTCATTAAAAATTTCTAATGCACTTTGCTATTTGTCCATACACAAACACAGCCTGATTAATTTGAATTATTTCTCTTCTGGAAAGAAACACAGATGAACCCCCCCAGTAACGTGGTTTCTGCTTTAATTTGCTCTCGCAGGGGAGGGGTTTACCCACCACACGGGATTTATGCAGGTTGCAAAGATATACTGGGTGGGAGAGAGGGCAAGAGAAAGGCAAGGCATAAAGGGAGGGGGGGGTGTAAATAAAAATAAACAGTGCTAAAAACGCCGGGCAATAAGAGAATCTCTAAATATCATCTCCCTCCCCCCTCTCCCCAAATATAGCCTGGAGACGGGTGACCCTGCTGGGGAGCGGAGCCGCAGAGGTGACCCGATGCTAACCAGCCTGTTAGAACTAATAAGGTGTGCTCCTAAGCCAGGGGCTGACACTGGGGCATTGTGGAAATAACTCTCCTTGTTATTGCCCATCCTCAGCTTGAAATTTA